TTCGAAAAAGGAGGACTCAGGAAAAGGAAAAGAATCCCAAATCCCAAATTATTTTGTTCTCCTGGACCTTCTTTAGGGGCTAGCAGTGCCCATGCTTTGAATTCTTCAGTATCCTTGATCTTCAGCATCGTAATACATGTCTGTCCTTCCATACAGTATCTTTTCAGATGTTGCAGGAGACATTACAATTGTTGTGGATGGGGAGTCTTTTCTACTGCATAAGGTAAGGTTTTTGCTTTGGAAATTCGTGCTCTACATTGGAATGATTTCAATTTCTGCTGTGTGTGATGAGTTTGGGGTTCTTGTTTGCTGCAGTTTCCCCTCGTGTCTAGAAGTGGAAAGATACGGAAAATGGTTGCAGATGCAAAGGACTCAAATATTTCGAAATTGGAGCTCTGCAACTTACCCGGCGGGCCCCATACATTTGAACTTGCCATGAAATTCTGTTATGGCATGAACTTTGAGATCACAACTGTAAATGTTGCCCATCTGCGCTGCGCTGCTGAATACCTGGAAATGACTGAAGACTACCGGGAAGAAAACCTCATTGCCCGCACGGAGACTTATCTGAATGAATTTGTGGTGCAAAGTCTTGAAAGGTCTGTCGAAGTCCTTGCTACATGTGAGCTGCTGCCTCCCATAGCAGAGGAAGTGGGAATTCCAAACAGATGTATAGAGGCCATTGCCATCAATGCTTGCAAAGAGCAGTTGGTGTCAGGCCTGTCCCATTTAGATTGCAATAGTGAATCCACAGAACTTAAGAGCAGCTGTCTAGAGTGGTGGGTTGAGGATCTCTCGGTACTAAGGATTCATTATTACCAAAGAGTTATCTGTGCCATGGGAAGTGTAGGGGTCCGGCTAGATAGCATTGTTGCCTCTTTAATGCATTATGCCCAGATATCATTAAAGGGTATTGGAAAATCTCAGATTTGGAATCCAGCGAGGATGAAATCAAGTCCTAACATGGAGGAAAATGATCAGAGTATAATTGTAGAAACTCTTGTAAGTCTAATGCCAACAGAAAAGAGCTCTTCCATTCCATTGAATTTTCTGTTCGGGATGTTAAGGATGGCCATCATGTTGGATGCTGCTATTGCATGTAGGCTTGAGCTTGAAAGGAGAATAGCTTTTAGGTTGGAAATGGTTTCACTTGATGATCTTCTTATACCATCTGTCCGGAGTGGGGATTCATTATTTGATGTCGATACTGTCCATCGGATACTAGTAAATTTTCTGCAGCGTGTTGAAGAAGAAGAAAATGAAGATTGCGGGTATGAATCTGAAGGCATTGGATCTCCTGGCCATGGTTCGTTATTGAAAGTAGGAAGGCTTATCGATTCATATCTCGCAGAAACTGCTCCTGATCCATATTTGAGTTTGCAGAAATTCATTGCCATGATTGAGATACTCCCTGATTATGCTCGAGTGATTGATGATGGGCTTTATCGAGCAATTGACATATATTTGAAGGTATTTTTTCCAGTTCCCGTGATCCATAGCTTTATAATTTCATTAAAACTCACCCAGTGCATTTCTTGATCATGCCATCATCTACTGTCTGAGCATTCAGAATAGTTTCAATCCCGAGTATTCAGTTCTGTGGATTTTTTAATACAAGATTTGAGGAAAGTTCCATATGATTAATTGGACTTAATGCATTGAAATTCATCTTGGTTAAGGCTTCTTTAGGATTTCAATAAGATGCTCTCATTTCATTAATCTTGTCTATTATGGACAGCTTCAAATATATTTGATTTCTTCTTATATCTCAAATGACATCTCAACCAAAAGTTTTTTTTTTTTTGTTATTTGGTCGTGGGGTTCGGGGGAGGAAGGTGTTTCACTTGCTCTCTGTTTATCTGTTGTAAATCACAAGTGCTCTTCATTTTTCTATCTAGGCTCATCCATTGCTATCCGAGCATGAATGTAAGAAGCTTTGCAAGTTGATAGACTGCCAAAAGCTATCACAAGAAGCGTGCAATCATGCTGCACAGAATGATCGTCTTCCAGTGCAGATGACAGTTCAAGTTCTCTACTCTGAGCAGCTACGTTTAAAGAATGCCTTGTCTGGAAGCTCAGGAGACGGGTTCCTATCACAGAGAATCAGCAGTGGCATACCCAGCGCAGCGATGTCGCCTCGAGATAATTATGCTTCTTTGCGGAGGGAAAACCGAGAACTAAAGCTTGAGATATCAAGAATGCGGGTGAGACTGAGTGAGCTGGAGAAGGAGCAGATGTGCATGAAACAAGGGATGATTGACAAGTCAGGAAATGGAAAAACTTTCTTCACCTCACTATCAAAGGGAATCGGAAGGATTGGCATTTTTAGCGGCCCAGGAGGAGGGAGGCACCAAAAATCTGGTAGAAAGCCTCGCGGGCCAGAGGGGAAAACTGGCAGGAGTCGCCGGCATTCCATGTCCTAGCTTCCGTGTATTTTACAGTCTGTATTTTCAAGGAATCACAATGGTTCTTGATGTATATGAATTCACGATTTTGGAGAAAATATTAAATTTTATTCCATCCGATACTTTATTTGCACAGCTCGACATCACCAACTGACATTATGCACCAGAGAGCACCTAGGATTGAGATCGTATTTTCATGATAATTGGTTTGGTGACAGGTTCTGCAATGAAGTTATTTTGTCGCAATACACTTCCATTACAGATTATGAAGCATGCATGCAAAGCCTTCAAACCACATGAAGCAAATTATTGAATGACATCTCCACGTATGAAATAAAACAGAGATACTACGATTCACTCTTTCGGCAAATCCAAATAATCAAAAAGTAATGACAATGTGATGCCCTATCTCAATGGGAGAAATTCGATGGAAATGAAACTCGAAAAGTTTGCTGAGCTTATTAAATCATGGAAGCAGAAGGTCCGGGAGCTGACAAAGAAGATCATGCTGCCTTGTTGTCACAGCAAATTTCAAATCCAGATCATCATGCTCCTAATTTTCCAAGAAGCTGCTTTCGGATCTGCACAGAGACAAACAAATGGTTGAGATTAGTCTAAGGTTTATCACTTCCAGAGTTAGAAACAGAATGCTCCTTCCAATTCAGTCATTCTGAAACTTTTCTGGTAGAAGTGATATTACAAGCAACAAACCAAGTGAAAAAAACAAAAATAAATAAATTGTGAAGTGAAGTCACAAACAGCAGAGCGAATGCTAACCACATCAGTGACTAAATTTCGAATATACAGCTACCTGCAGCACATGATTTTACGAAATGCAAGCATGACAGGGTGATTTCTGCAGTTTAGGACAGACCTTTTGTTGAGTTGGTAAGCGAAAACGTACCTCTGGCAGTTTCTTTCCGAATGCAACATCCAATCTTGCATCCAAAGTGTTCTCAAAAACTATCTTCCCATCTTTTGAGGCCATTACCACTCCGCCGGAACTTTGAGAGCAATTGACAAAGGAAGCATAGACAATGTAAACGGCATGACATTGACTTGTGTTCAAGAAGAAAACAACATTCTCAGCTTGAAAAACTTTTGCAGGAAAAATCAGATTATTACCAAAAAGGATCATGAGAGTCCGAAGATTTCGGAGGTGGCGGAAGGTATACAGTGGTATCAATGGTAACAACAGGAGCATGTACTTTGGTTTTCTCTGCATATAAGCGGCTTGCATCCTCCAGAACCGACTCGACAATCTTACGGTCAACCTCTCTGCATCGGAGCAGAACTGCTGGCTCCTTCAGTCGGATTAAACTCTACAGATCACATTGAACAAAAGTATCAAGTCAGTAGACTAATGTTTCATATAATAATATCATTCCTCGTAAGACATCGATACGAGGACATATCGAATTACCTGAACAATCAAATCCTTGAGAAGCTTCTTGTATTCCTTCTTGTTGTTTGAAACACGCAGAAGTTGCTTGCTAGCAGATTCTTTCATGGAATTCACAATATCATCCTGTGCTTGAAGAACTTTTATACGCGACGCGTTCAGCTGCATTGAGTACTCGCTACATAGCAAAGATCAGACAAAATTTCATTAGCAATCCGAACAACAGAAATTCAAGATTTCTGGTAAAAAAAGCAAACAAGAAATGGTAATAGAACTGACATCTTCCTCCGTATATCCACTTGCTTAGTCTTCCGCTCGAATTCTTGTCTGATCCTTTTCTTTTCAGCTTCCAGGATTTGCAGCTTCTCAATGTTAAATTCCTGACAACGTACATTAAAAAAAAAAAAAGGTAAGATCATGAACAGTAATAAGACAGCATCGTGTTAATCAAACAAAATTAATGAAACCTCCTCGGCGGAGACAGAAATCTCGTTGGCCTTCTCCTCCGCCTCTTGACGGATGAATCTGGCCATTTGCTGTATCTGCCTTGACACATCTGCATCGTTCATCATTCCTTCTTGTTCTTGTCCTCAAATTCAAATATCTGGGGATTTCTTTCTAAATGCTGCAGCTGCAGAAAATTAATAAAGAATATGTATGGGAAAAAAAAAAAAAGAGGAACAGGGGGTTCCTCCATTTTTTCTGCGAAACTTCGTTGAATAAATCCAAAGATTTCTATCTTTAGCGAATCCTGTAGCGGTAACACGTGCCCTTTGTACTTTGCGCAAAAAACTGAATGTTTTAAACGTCGCCGTTTTGATGTTAAATTGATCCGTTTTCCTACTCTCCTGCATCCTTAACATGTCTGATGAAATGCCACACAGAACTCGTCCATCTAACTACCATATTACTCTTTGAGATGCTCTCACAGCTCTTGCTGTTTTGCTGCAGCTCTCTCTCTCTCTCTCTCTCTCTCTCTCCCCCTCCCCATCTATCTATCTTCTGACCACCAAGGAGGCAGCAGCTGAGCTAAAAATGGGTTTTGACAGGTAAACCTCATTCACTTCCAGAATCAATATAGTCATGTGAAAATGTGATTTACTCTCCCATGATTAAGTTTTTTGGCATGACCATTTCATGGATATGCTAATGCTTGTTTAAATACTGCTCAAAGAGTAATAATAATAAGTTCATTTGCAGTAAGCTTCAGCCATTTATTCGACTGAATTATGATTTATTTCATTGGCAACACGATAATAACGTTACAATTCTTGTCTTATGATCATTTCGAGAGACAATAGATGTAGTGTTCCACTGGATTTCAGGGAACAAAATACATTGGATTTGGTAGCTTGAATGTCCGGTTTCCTAAACATTCTCCCTGAAGATCACTCCATTGATCACCCACATTCCCCCATATTCTGTACCCTTCCTTTTCTAATTGCCTTCTTATTTCTGACTTGTATGCCACTGCGCTTTGTCCCATGAATTCTGCTGTCCTGTTGGAGATTGAGAGAACAAGAAGATTACAAATCCAGGGTATATCATAAGCCATTTAAACAGTAATAATAATGCTAACATGCATACACATCTATTAGCCCATCCAATCATGCCTACATGGAATTTCAAAAAATTCCATCCACAGCTGGCAATCCACACAACTTGTCTTCGCTTGGAAAGGCAATTTTGTATCAGGTGGCGAGTCTAGTTTCCCTGTCAATTTGGTTAGGCTTGTAAAGGGTTCTTGTCTTCTTGATTCTAGATTGACCTAAGGCTAAGGGATTGTGCCTTTTGCCTAGCCTATGATTCTGATGGAACAGGAGTGCTTTCTGGCGATGATGTTGACTCGAATGGCATCCGAAAATATGCATAGTTGGGATGGCATTAACTTCAACATATCAACTACGAAGTCAATACTACAAATAAGAGGAACCAAGCAGTGATCAGTCATTTTTCCAAAATACCTAATCATTGGAGTGTGCCATGAAAGCCTGTCACTATCAGGTATTCTTCCATGTGATTTCTATTTGAGTAATCATTTTGAAGGAGAATGTATGCTATATGTTATTTCAAATCCAAGGAAAATTATCCACTCAGATGATTAATCAATTGCCTTACTGAAGATTGATTCCTCAAGTAGAGTTTTGTGGCCTGAAAAAGGTACTCTGGCCACCATGAAATGTTTAGTTGTACCATCTTACCTCAAGATTATTCTCTCGTAGCCGATGAAACCCTGATTATGCAGATTATCAATAGTGACTTGGCCAAGAATTTCTTGGTCTCTGCCAGTGACTAGGAATACTTTAAAACCACTTTGAACTAGGTAGTCAAACAATCCAAGAACAGCAGG